GATAATTAATGTGTGTCAGTGCCTATCACTGCTGGTGGTCACGGAATAGGTGGCCACTCTTCTCTAGATCTAAACCTGTCCCCCCCCCCCAACCGCACTGTCCTCTAGGAAAACTTTAGGCCCCAGAATGCAGAAGTGTGAGCCTGAGAGGATCCAGGACAACACACATGGGCTTAGTGTGGGCCCCACTGGCCTTGGAGACCTGGTTGAAGTTTCCTTTCTGAGAGAGGTGCAGAGAGCACGATTTTAATGGCCTTGTGTGAAGGGGGTGGCATCTTCAGCCCAGAGAGTTAGAACCACTCAATAAATACTGAAGTGCTTTTATTATTATTATTAATTCACCAGTCATGAAACTCCTTAATGGTCGACCAAAGCGTTTGGAATATTAGAAGCATGAAGTCCTTTCTGTATATGGGATGTCTCTGCTGACCCCCCACCAGTGTGGCACATCAGCTTTGACATGCTTCCCAGAGAGGGCTGACACATCACTCAGTGACATTCGTATTCTGCTGAACCAGCGGCAGGTGTCTGAGGATGATGGGTTAGGGTGGAGGACACCTACTGGGTCATTGAGGCATTTTTTTGCCCTGTGACCCTGGCCTCATTAGCTCCATATTCTAATCAACCAAACCAACTTGCCCCAGACTAGATGATCCACACAGTAGTAGTTCATGGTATCTCATATGCCATCTACCAGAGCTTTTTATTTATCGGCATGTCTGCACAGCAACCACAACTCGTAAGATGTGTACTCTTATGATGCCTCAAGGTACCATGAGCTTCTGATTCACTGAAGATTAGATTACGCACAGTCTCGCTCTTGTGTCAAGCCTATCTGTGTTCTGATGCTTTGACAGCTGGGCAGCCTCACTTGAGTGGACCAGAGTCGCTTGCGCTGGTACACAGGAGGCCTGGGTCCCAGGCTTGGTTCTGCCACAGTCTCACGATGGGACTCTGGGCTAGTCTCTCTCTCTCTGGGTCTTACTTTCCTCATCTGCAAATTGGAATTTAATACTCTGTGCTCTGCCTGTCTCACTAGAATGAAGTAAAGATCAAAATAGGAAAGGAACACTCTAAGGCTGTGAAAGTGAAAAGGCTGTTGTGGGCCCCCTAGGAAAAAGACTGTTGACATTATTAACACCTCTGCTTACTCTTTTCTCCAACTGTGCTGGGCAACAGAACGCACTGCGTTCTAAAAAGTGATGCACAGGGAACACTTTATCTTCAGTGGGGAGTATCGGCGCCCAGGCCAGGTTAGTTGCAAAGGGAACAGTGTGTGTGTGTGTGTGTGGGGGGGGTGCTTCAAGGCTCAGCAGGGGCAGATAGGCTGGTGGGCAGCCGGGACGTGGGGATCTGGGAGACTCAGCCTCCAGGACCACGAGCTTCTCATTGCCATGAGAAGTGCGTGCAGGCTTCCAGCTGCTCCTGGTGCCTCCCGGGCTGATCTTGCCTGTCTGCTCCTGGGCTCAAGACCCTCCCACTATCACTGCCAGGCCCCTGAGGGGATAGAAGGGCCTGCCACCCTTTGGCCAGGGATGGCCAAATGAAGACCTTTATAGCCCTTTGGCACTCCTACACATTAAATGCACCCGCATCCCACATAAAATCTAATTTCTTTCCCATTAGTTATAATTTCCCAGTAACCATATCACACATGTGAATTTGGGGGAAGTGAGACAACTCACCCACAAATTGTCTTCAAACATTTGTGATGCAACAGTGATGGGGACGCAATACTGCACTTTGCAGTGCAGCACAGTCATTACTCTACACAGCAAACTACCGTACACGGTGGATGTGATATGCACTGGGAACGAATGAATCTTATGAACATGTTGGGCTAAAGAATCCAGATGCACAAATGGACTCGCTATGGACTCCCTTTATATACAGTTCAAAGCCAGGCAAAATTAACATGTGGAGTTAGAAGGCAGGACAGTGGTTCCCCCTGGGGAGGAAGATAGTGGCAGGAAGGGGCATGAGGAATCCGGGTGCTGGTAACGTTCTGTTTCTTGATCTGGGTGCTGTTCAGTTTGTCAAGATTCATAGAGTTGCACACATTTTAAGTTGTGCCCTTTTCTGCATGCATATTTCAATGGAATCTTAAAAATTTGAACATTTATTGATTTTGAATTTGTAATTTGGTCTCCCAATTTGGAATCAATACATGTGTTTCAGGTCTCAAAAAATTTTCGCAGCCCCAGGTGTATTTAACAGTCTGGGCCACAGACAGGCCGTCTTCCTTTCCTGGGCTGTGGGGCAGCCCCTCCTCCCCGGCCTCCCTGGCCATTACTAAACTGTGGATGACCCAGGAAGTCAGGGCCATGAGATGCAGTAGAGAGGGCTTGCTGGTCACCAGCCTCCCAGGCTGGGAAAAGCTCGTCTTCAGCCCTCTCCTAAGCACCCCGACCTTCTCCACCCAGCTAGCCCTGCCTCTCACTGGTGCTCACAGCAGTTATGCTCATGCCATCACCAGAGCTTGGAATTTACTATGTGTGTCTCGGAAGGTTCCACATGTCTGTCTTGCCTCTTATGAGCCTCTTGAAGCTGGGGCCACCACATCCTTCATTTTTGCAAATCCCTAGCACCTGATACAGAAGTCAGGCAGAGCAGGCATTGCATAAACACGAGCTCCTTGAACTTCATCCTTGAAGTTCTCTTTCCTACAGATGGGTTCGTGGTTGGGGTGGCTTTTCCATTTACAAGCTGCATGACATTGGGCATGTTTGGTCCCTTCCTAAGCCTCACTTTACGTCTTTGTAAAATTAGGGTAGCAATCCTAGCACCATGGTGAGCGCTATGGTGAGGCTCAGATGGGCTAAGGTTTGGCAGGTGTCTATGAATGGTGCTGTCCCTCTGCCTCAGGTGGTATACTTGATCCTTGTCTGGTACAGGGTTAATAAGAAGAGATGTTGGAAAGATGTGAGTAGCCCCTTCATTGCTCAAGAGCACCCCAAATAAACCATTGCTTGAACAAGTTCAAAGAAACACTAGCAATTTATTGATTTCCTATATTTCCAAAATAGCAAATACATAGTATATCACACAGGGAAACTGGGCCTGGCCAGCACAAGGTTCTTATACAAACACGAAGCAAGTGGAGGGATGGGCTATGGGGAGGCTGCAAGATACCTTACAGCAACCCGGGCTTCCTTTACCTGCATGACCTCTAGCCCCAGCCTTGGTCATCCCAGCCATCCACCTCTCAGCCAGCTCCAAGGTGGACAAGCAGAAAGAATCACTGCCTCTTGGGTCCCAGGGAGAACTGTGGGGTCTGGGCTGCTAGTCTGGGCCCCATTGGAGAGGCGACTGGTAGCCAGTGACAGGGTTTGTCTTAAGCACAGGAGATCCCAGAGTCAGGATGGGGACAGGTTCTGTGTCCTTACTCATTTGACCCCAAATTGGAACTTTGTGTTCTAGGTGTCAACCCTGGCAGCGTGAGGCCAACACGGGCTTAAAATACCAGGACGTGCCTCGGGTACATAAACCCCTTACTGTGTCTCTCTAGGAAATATGACCTCAGGCCCCTCTCAGTTTTGCTTCTTCCAAAATGCCAGGCATGGGTCAGAGGCCTGGGTGAGCAGGCCCATCTGGCCAGCCTGTGAGGGCATGAGAGAGGTTACAAAAATCAGGCCTGGCCTAGCTGCCCACCTCAGCCCACTGAGGTTTGAAAAGCTGCCCATTCCCAAGGCTGAGGGCTGGGCCCACCTGGCTCTTCATCCTGGGGGGGAAGAAAATGAGCCGAGGGTCTGCAGGGAGGAGGCTGAGGGGGCGTGAGGAGCAGCTTCTATTCTCCTAGAGAAGGGGACAGAGTGGCAGTTACTTCCTGCCTGACACCAGCCATGCTAGCAGGGGAGGTGGAGGCTGAGCAGAGGGAAGCCTAGGAATGTCTGCTCCGCTCCATCTGACAGCCTGGATGAGGGTTATTGACACAGAAAAGTTTTCTCAGGAGGCCTTCAGGAGCCTGCTACTTCTTTTCATCTGAAATGCACATAGTCTGGAGTCTTGGGTGTGGCTGGTGCCCCTGACGGGCCTCCTGATCACATCCCCTGTGGGTTTCACATACACGGAGGGGATGGAGACAGGAGGGCTGGGGTTCAGGGGAAAGTGGGGATGGCCCCTGGCTGGGATGTGGGCTTGCTGGTGTCCTGACAGGACACTTCCCTTTCCAGATCTATCCAAATTTCTTTCTTCCAAGTCTCCTGGAACCCCAAACACTCCCTCACTTGGCTCTCAGCAGGCTCGGTGGGAAGCATCTTCCTGGTTAATTTCCACCCTCGCCTTTCCACGGGCAGCCGGAGCAGGTAGATGCCCAGCCCTGGCCTGTTCCCTCTCCGCTGGGAATGTGAAGACAGAACAGCCATTCCCTGAGCAGCTCTTTGGATCTGAGCACCATTTCTTCCCTTCTCTCTCTTGTAACAAGTAGATGACAAGCCTCCTGAAAGCAGGGGCTTTGCTGGCTGAGCCTGCATTGATGGTACAAAGCCCAAGGACTAGCGAGTCCCATCTCTCTGGCTCCTGCTCTGCAAGGCAGACCTCAAATAGCAAAGCAAGTAAGGTTGTCCTGCTGTTCTCTAGAGCCCCACACCCTGTCCAACCCAGTCTTTGCAGCACTGTGAGGAGGGCGGCATTGTCAGACACACTAAATTTTCCCATGAGATACACTGAGGTTAGCCCAAGCCCCAGTTACTCTCCCCTCCCACCCCAGCCCCGGGAGATGGCAGGCAGGAAGGTTGCAAGAGTCCTCCATGGTCCTGAATCTGGGGAGGACCCCCTGCCCTGGTACAATACATTTTAGGAACTACGGGCAGCTAACCAAAAAGCACGTCATTCTTGCTTATGACTAAGAAGCACGGGAGAGTCCTTTTCACCACCTATAAGCTGCAATAAAACAGCTTACCTAGATTTTTGCAGTTTGTGGTTATGCTTTCAGGCACTCATGCACACGCACACACACGGACACATGCGCACACACGTTATACACATATATATATACCATTTCTCAGAGAAAGAAGTATCGACATCAGACATAAGCCCATTTAACTCAAGAAAGTCCCCCCACCCCAACCTCCCCAATCCCCATCTCCTGCCAGTTCCCCCAAAGAAAAAAAAAAAAAGAACCTAAAAATATTTCCATCATCCACAGTTTTCAGGTTTGCTGTCAGTTGCATTTGAACTTTTCTAAATACTGCACAGTATGGACAGAATAACTCATCCAGCAAGGCCTGAGGTCTTCTTAGCTGGGTCATATCTTTCTGGAAAAAGAGAAGTCCTCAAGTTAGCATTTACAGTGAGGCGTTTCCATGTGGCAGTAAGTCTGGCCAGGACTGCTACCCTCTTCTCATTCACATTTGCTCTAAGGTGTACTCTGGCCTGCGACTGGATTCAGGGCCTCCCTGGACACATTCATAGGTTGCTCCTGTTGATTCAGAAGCTTGTCAGCCTTGACCCCCCTAATCCCCCACCCCCTGCCCACCCTGTTCAGCGCTAAGCATCGAGACTGTGCTCACTAACAATCGCTGAATCTAATCAGCTCCCCCTTTTCATCCTCATGTTGTTGAAGCTTATCTACCTGGATAGGGTGTCTGAAGTCTTATGTAATCTCCATCTGGACCAAAGTTACAGCCCTCTCTCCCCACCAGGACCCTCCTCACATGTCAGGATTTGGGGGGGGCGGTGCTGGCAGACAGCTTGAGCTAAGAAGTCCCCTTCAGCTCAGGAGGCCCTGTCCTCATTCCTGGCTATTTGCAGATGGTTCCTCACTGGAGCTGCCCCTGGTGACCCTCTCTATATTTGATGACGTCTGGTGTGAGTACCCAACTGTGGTTCCTGGCTTACCCGCATCAGAAACACTTTAGGAGTTTGTTTAAAAATGCATGTTCCCGGACCCCAGTCCAGGGCTACTGAGTCAGAATTGCTAGGGTTGGGGCCGAGAGTGTGCAGTTTAACAAGCATCCCAGGTGATTTCAATGAATGTTAAGGCTTGCAAGCCTTTGTCATAGTATTGGTTCTGAGTTTTTGGTCCCCAGAATCATCAGCTAGAAATAAGCTTGTGTGTACTAGGCATGTGCAGAGACTGGAAAGTATACTGTAAAAAGGATAAAGAAAGATGAACTGTGGAAGACCAAATCCAGAATGGCATATTGTATAACTCATTGTAGCCCATGTGAATGGCACAACCTGGGTTGTGCACTGTGCAACCTACATGGCTGTACCTAGCAGTCCTGCCCAGACTCTCTGGCCCTTCTGACACTACCAGGACACTATACATCCCTAATGTCCTATGGTGTGGGATAGTCCATGCCCCAAGCCAAGCAGTATACACAGCTGCCCTCACAGTCTTTGAGTCAGCCAGAGCTAATCTACTTTCTGTGTCCCTGAGGAGCCCAGGCCTAGCCCCTTGTCCTGAGACTGGTGGAGACTGCTGCAGTGGTGCTGGAGGCACCCTTGCCTGGGGGTGGGCTGATTCTTACCTGCAAGCTGAACTTGCTTGGTCAACCTCTTAGAATCGGGAGGTGAAGTTCCTGAGGCTGTTGGCCCCGGCCAAGGATCCCAGCATGTTCCTATCGAAACCTTGCTGCAAGGGGAGAAACATCAACCATATGTATAACATACCCTAGGACAAAACAGTGTGGGGCTTGCTGCAGGGTCAGACACTGCCCTCCCAGAGCATCCTCAGGCTCGCATAGCCTCTGGACAGCGGTGAGCTCTGACTGCTCTGTCCATGTGTCAGGGCTAAAATTGGCATCATTTCATGTGCAACAAACATTATGCCGTTCCTATCCATGAGTTAGTGAAATGTGTTTGGACTTCCATCAGCACGCTTGTATTTCCTACTTGCATTGGCAGACACCTGAATCTAGGCATAAGGATTTCAGCCAGTACTCATTTCTTCTTTAACAGATTGACTGCTGAAATCAGATTAGTTGTTAGTTCTCCCCTCTGACCATCCTGTTTTTTTGTTTTTGTTTGTTTGTTTTTTTAAATTCTGACATGAGCACTTGGGCAGGCAGGATGTGCCGCGTATTTCTCAAATACACGAGCAGGGGGCTGGTGCTGGTGCTGAGAAGCTGCCATAAGGCTCTTTTTACTTCTGTGTTCTCCCCCCTCCAGCCCCACCAGCCCCTGAGCTCCTGCTAGGTGGAGACCAAGTCTTCTTCCTGTTATTTCTCTTAGCATACAGCAAGTGCTCAATACATGCTTCAGAGCAAATAAGACAGCATAATGTGAGAGCAGCAATAGGCCCAGTGCTCTCGAGAAGAGGCCCCTGGTGCCAGCCCTGAGTGCTGAGAGCTGTTAGCTGTCGCCAACCTGTGGGAACAGGACGGGGGATGGCATGGGGGATCGAGACCAGCAGCCAGTCCAGATCCCTATTCCTGCTGCGTTTGGGCACATATTACACGATGTTGTTTTTCCCCTGCAGATTTGCTTGCTCATTCCTGTTCCGTTTGGCTGAATTTGGTGGAAAGAACCAGGAGTGAAAAGTACTGGATCCCAGCCTCGCTCCTGCCCTAGCGCATGGAATTAACACACACACCTTGGACCCTGATTCCCAATTCAGCAAAATGGACACAAGGCATGTGGCCTGCCTCACCTGCTCTTGTGACGGCCTAATTAACGGCAGCTGTGAAGGTGTTTTGGAGCACCAAGCTAGGACATGCCAAGGCTGTGGTCAAGCACAGCTGGGGGGAAAAGTGGAGACTGAATGGGGATGCTGGTTCCCAAAGGCCCTGCACAGAAGGGAATTAGTGAACATAGTGAGTGGACTCTCTGTGTGTCTTAGGTCAGGGTGGTCTCTGTTTGTGTTTTGGGGCATGTTGAGCCCTCTGGACCAGCATCAAGAGGCACGGTGAAGCTCTCACCCAGTCCTCCTTACCTCTTTCTCCCCTTCGCCCCGATCTACCTGGCAGCTGCCACTTGGCCCAGCCCAACCTCATTTGTCCTCACATTGTTGGAAAAGAGCACTGGATTGTCAGATGGGCACGGCGGCCACTATTTGCCATGGCCTTCAGAGTTTCCCAACCACCTTTGACCACAGTGGTTTCGTGGGTGTCTTTCTTGTTTCCCTACTATATTAGGAACTCGGTTCCTTCCTGGCCAAACTGTGGTGAGCCGTGTCTCCCCTCGTCCCCTCATTCCCTCCTGTGCCCCCCCACTGCAGTGGGCTCCACAGTGCTCCCTTGGCTTTGCCAGCAGTGCTCTTAGAGGTCGCAGAGACTTCTGAATTCCCAGATCCAGGGCCTTTTCCAGTTCCTGTCCTCCTTGTCCTCTTGGAATCTCAGGGAATGCTGCCCACCCTTCCTCAGAGCTTTCTCATCCCATAGGGTCGTCAGCCCCTTCCTGCGCACCTTGCACAGTTCCTCCTGGTTCCCTGCCACTCATTCCTCCTCGGCCTTCAGGTGAGGGTCTTCCTGCTTCTGCCCTCGCCCCTTAAGACTCTCCCACAGACGCACACCCCATGACGGTCTTGCCTGTTCTCATGGCTTTGCCGATCTGAACAACGCTCAGAGCTGTGCAGCAGCTCCGACTTCTCTGCTGGGGTCCCACACCACATTCTGCCTGGACTCCCATCCAAGTCTTCCAAACTCAACCTCCTCTACTCAGGACCCTCTTGCTCCAACCTCAAAAGCCTCGACCTCAGCAGATCTATTTCTTTCTTTTTTTTTTTTGTCTTTTGTCTTTTTCCGTGTCCGGCAACGGGATCGCAACCCTCGGCGTTGCTCCCACGCCTCGCTCAGCCAGTGAGCGGGAACCGGTCCGTATGTGGGATCCGAACCCTCGGCGGGAGCGCCGCTGCGCTTCCCAAGCGGCGCACTATCCAGTGCGCCACCGGGCTGGCCCTCAGCAGATCTATTTCTAACAGCGTAGCCGCAGTGTCTCCGAGCTGGAAGCCCGAGCGTCGGCAGTCTTGCTATTCTGTGTTCTCTACCTCCTCTCCTTTGTCTTCATCATCACTGCTGCCTACGTCTCAGCCCAAAGGATGGCTGCTGCAGGAGTGGGAGAGAAGGGGCAGCGTGAAGGCGTCTCATAAAAGCAGAACTTTGTGCATGATTAGGTTGGGAGGTGTTGAGGACAGAGAGAAGCCAAAGGTCACCCCTGGACAAGGACAGCAGCCTCCAGGTCTCTCAGTCCATGCTGCATTGCTCAGTGGTGTGGAATTAGTCTTTCTAATGCTGATTTGATCATGAGACCCTCTACACAAACCCTGAATGGCTTCCCAGTGCAAAGGCACAAGTCTGAACTCTTTGGTCTGACTAAAGGGGTTTTATGATGTAGCCAAACCCACTTTCCAGTCAGAGTGCACGTCATGCCCGCAAACGACTCTTGTGCCTTTCATCCACATGCTTTTCAGTTTGCTCCTAAAAGACCCCGCCCCAGGCCTCTCACACATTTCCTTGATTTCCTCCACCATCTATGGGCTGAGCACCCCTCGTAGGTCCCAGAGCCTAGAGATTTGGTCACTGCGTTTGTCACATGCATTGTCCTGAGGACTCAGTCTGTTTCCTAGACTCTGTCTTATGTAAGTCTGAGCAGTCTGGGTGGGGCAGGCCAGTCTGCCTTTCCCTTCTCGGTCCACTCGGACTTCATTCAGTGCGGGGAAAGTGCAGGAGAAATCTCGGCAGAGGGGTCAAGGCGTAGGCTCTTACCTGTCTGAGCATTCCCTGTAGCTCCTTGCTGGACCACATGTCAGACAGGAGGAGTCGGGCAGCTTCTGCAGCCTTGGGGGAGGCACTGGGCAGGTGGGAAGTGCGTTTGTGAGGGGAGATTCCGGGAGGCATGAGAAGGACATCCTCCTCCCGCCCACCCTCAGCTCCAGGTTTTGGAGACGTGGGGAGGCCCACGGGTGTGCTGAGCCCTGGTCACTCTGCACAGTGGGCACAACCCCACACCCCTCCCCTCTAGGGGCACCCCAGGACTCTCCTCAGGGCCATAAGGTGGTAGTGCCTCCCACTCCAGTCCCCTAGTCCTTGTCCTGAAGAGAGAGCCTCACAAAGCAGAATAAAGTTCCCATGCAGTGGGGTCTGCTGCCCCATGCTTCCTGCTGATCCTCTGAGGACCCAGCACCTTGCATGACCCCCAGCTGAAAAGTGCACTGCCTCTGTCCAATCTGTGCAGCCCTGAGGCCTGGATGCTGGATCCTCAGCTCCATGGCACTCCTGGCTTCTGGAACTTCCCTTCCACTCAAGCATGCTCCACCTCTGCCTCCCCCACCCCTGGGGGCTTGCCCTGCCCTACATTTGTGTCTTCTCGGAGAGTTGCAGGATGCCTGCCATGCAGCGTGAGGAGGGGCTGCATGTGGGGCAAGGCCAGGTGGGGGCCTGTCTCCTTCCCCTCCCACCTGCTGCGGCACAAGTTGATGACGTTGTTGAGCATGCTGCTGGAGAAATACTGCTTGGCCATCTGCGGCTGCGAGGCCATCAGGTTCCTCACGGTGTAGCAGGCAGAGGACAAGATGTCTTCAGAGTTGCTGGTGTTGCCAGTGTGACTGGTGAGGAGCCTGGTCACCTCTGGGAACACTTGGTTCCCTGGGAGAGGAAGGATTCAGGGCACAGGGTCAGAATGACCAAGGGAAGGGGACATTGAGGGGTTCCCTGTAGGGCCACAATCCTGGACTGCCCTCAGCCAGGTTCTAAGCCTGGCGGCCCCTCAGAGCTCCATGCCAGCTCCAGCTCAGGGCTGGAGACCCAGATGGGACCTCTGCAGCCCTACTCCCATCCTTAAGGTGACAGGCCCTGTCCTGTCTCCACACCTCTCTTTGGCCGCCTTCCCCTTCTTGAATGCTCACCCAAAGAATGTTTAGAAGTTGTCCTTCCAGCAGGCTCTGGAAAGTGGGGGTCTGCTGTGTCCTATCTAGAGGGGGAGGAGAGGCAGGCGGCCTTACCCATCACTCTGTGCAGCGCAGGGTGGCGGGACATGTTGCTTAGGAGGGAGGCTCCAGACCGCACCACATCGGAGTTGCCAGACTGCAGGAGGCGGGTGATTTGCGGCAGGCCCCTTTCCTTCAGCCCAATCAGCTGGCTCATGCCGCTGGACATCTAAGAGGGAAGGAGCTGGTGAGCAGCTGGCCTGCGGCTTCCTAGGCGCCATGGCAGGCAGAGAGGGGCAAGTAATCCCAAACAAAGAAATCCCAGAACCTTTTCTCTTTCATGTTGGATGCACTGGCAGACACAAAAACCTGCTCACACACGGGCAAGGACAGACTGACGTGCACCTCCCGCTTGCAGACCCTGCTCCCTGCTCATCCCGCAGCCCAGGGCGGTGTGAGAGGGAAGTCTCATTTCTCTCCCTCACGGTGACCCAGGGTCAACTTCTAGACAAACCAAAGTATCCGATGCCTTTCCTCACCCCATTGTCCCAGCTCGCTTCCCTTACCTCTCCCAGCAGCATCTGCTCACATGAAACCATGTGGACAAGGGTGTTTGTCAATTAAAGAAGATCTGGCCATCTTCTTCCAAAGTCCCTACTTCCATAGAATTCACTACTTATTTGTTGAGGGCTTGCCTGAGACAAAGATGGATAAGAGAGAGTCTGGGCCCGTGTGGAGATGGAATTGGGGTCTGCCGGAGGCAGGTCAGCAGGCCGGCTTATCTGGCCTCTAAGCAATAGGGCCATCCTGGGTGGAATCTGGTCTATGCTGGTCTGGAGTTCTTGGAGACCCCCAGCCTCAACCCCTCACAGTCAGGGAAGGTCTTTACCCCCGATTCATCCTTGTCCAGCTGCTGCCCAGTTCCCTTTGTCCTAAGCGAGGCAGAAGAATAGTTGGAGCCCTTTCCATCTAAACTCTTCTTAATTGCAAACAGGCCTCCTCTGGCTCCACCCACACCACCATGTCCTGCAAACTACATTTGCCCTCAGACTCTACACTAATTCTGTCACATCTTCCTTTGGACCTGTCTCTGCCCCAAACCTTTGTTTTCCATTTCATCAAAAGGGAGACTCCTCCTGCCACAAACATACTCTCCATCCCACCCCAGGCAGAGCCCAGGAGGCCAGCAGGGGACCAGGAACCACGAGGCAAAGGGGATTGTGTGGGCACAGACAGATCCAACAGGAGTGGGTCCGTCCACAGTGCACCACCAGAGAGTCCCCAGAGGGCAGGGCATCAGGCCCTAATCGTTTCCCCAGCACCCAGCCCAGAGCCGAGCATATGCCAGCAGCCCTGCTCCTGCTTGCAGAAGGAAGCTCTAAAGCCCACATGTGTTTGACAAGCGCAGGCAGGGGCGGGCTGGTGGGAAATGCAGGGAGCAGCCTGAACTGTGGGTTGGAGAAGACGGGAGAGTCACAGCAGGAGGGAAGGAGGCCCCTCCTTACCAGCCCCTTGCTGGCGGTCAGGTTCTGCAGGGCGCCAGCGCAGGCCTCCAGGGTGGCATCTTTCTTACTCTTGCCCATGAGGTTCAGGTAGGTGCGGATGGCATCTGAGTGGTACAACCAGCTGCTGCCCTTGGGGTTGGCCTCTTCCTCGGGAAGGGGGCAGTCATAGTTGTTGTTCTGAGCACAAAGAGCAGGTCATGGGGAGCATACTGGGGGAACACAACACAAGCATTCTGCGCCCCCCAACCTCAGCATCCTGGCTCCAGATGGGAGGGACCGAGAAAGCATCTGCTGAGGCAGGGGGCTCAGAGACAGCCCTGTAGCGCCCCTCTCCTCTGTACACTGTGGCAGCTCCACAGATTAAGGGAATGGGCCATGGTCCCCCAGACTGTCCCCAAGGCAGATAGAGAGCATTCTCTGTGTGCCCTGGGGCAGCCTGGGCCCAAACCCTCCAGCTGTGCAAGGCTGCTTTGGGGTCTCACATCCTGATGCTTCCTCTCCACTCAGACTCAGAATGTGGGTTTCACCTGCCCTGGGCTAACAGGACTGGGCTGGGGCCGGCTCCCACAGTATACCCAGTGAAGAAAGCCTGGCCCTCCATCCACAGCACCCGTCTGCTTCTGGGGAAACCTGGGAGGGCTCAAGAGGTGGTTGGAACCAAGGCCAGGGAGGAGTGGGAGTGCTGGCTATCCCCAAATCCTCAGGAGTAAGGGAGAAGATGGGGGAGACTTTACCCATTATACAGGGAGAGAGGTTGAGGCCTGCAAACAGAAAGCTAGGGCCTTTGACCTCTGGGTTGGTCTGGGCTCCTACAGTCCCGAGAACACAGATCCCCTCTGTATGCAAGATGGAATGCCCTCTACCTAGTTCCTGGGGCACAGCATGGTCCCATAGCCAGGGCTCTGGCAGGAGCCTGTCCCCAGCACGTTGAGAGGAAAGGGTGGGTGAGGCCGTGGGACCTGGTGGGGCACGGGGAGGGGCACAGTGCTCACCATCATCTTGTCGCTCTTGTTGCTGAAGCAGCCTGTCGAGGACTTCTCCGTGTAGGCGTTGCGGGTGTTATACTCCAGCTGGCGGTAGCGGGTGGGCACCTCAGCGTCCAGGCGGTAGGAGAGGTTGTGCAGGATACACATGCAGTTCTCCACGGACTGGGGAGTGAGCAGACGCACAGCTCCTGCGCCCCAGCCCAGCCCCTGCCGGGCTCCTGCCCCCAACTAATAAGGCAGTGGCCGGTCCTCAGCTGCAGCTGCAGCGGGGGGGACGAGCACAGGCACCCACCACACCCTCGCTCTGAAAAGATCTCCTAGGAACGTTTCTGGGACCAGGATCTGAATCCCAGCTCTATCATTTCCTGGCTGTGTGAACTTGAGTGACTTGTCTCATGTTTCTGGGCCTCAGTTTCCTCAGCTGTAAAATACAACTAAAATCACCTACTTCCCTGAGCTATTAGAAAGATTCTATGAGAGGGGTCTTCAAAAAAGTTGTGGAAATGTTTGTATTATCTTTTAATTCTATTTTCCCACAATCTTTCTGAAGTACCTTTGACATGGAGAGCACCGTCATGGGCCTAGCACATAGTAGGACCTGACAGACGGTGGCTACTG